GCTGTTTCTAAAATGTACTGCTACTGGAAGCTTAATAATAACACCTTCAGCTTGCGTGACGGATCCTTCAGTAATCGATTTAAAAAGCTAAAAATCCTCCGTCTTATTCTAAGCTCTGGCTTATATGCCCAAATGTTTTTACTGCGATGGTCAGCGGTTTCAGCAAGATACTTTTATCGCTCGATGGGCTGTCATTCCGTAAGCCACACAGATTTTTTACTGCTAGTTGGTGTGCCGGACGATTGCACTTTTTGGTGCAGTGTTCCTTCAGGCGATGAATGCAGGCTTTTCGTAGTGCTTTGGTACCCCATAACTTTGGCCTTGTTACTGTTATTATTGCTAAATATGGTTTATATTGTCGAAAAGAAAATGGGAAAACTGCGTTTATGGCCAAGTTTCACTAGGTATTAAAGACTTGAAGAGAAACTTTCTGCGTGACCAGTGTCCAAGGTCTTAAGTGCATGCAACAAAGCGGGCATAATTCAGGTTTGATGGAGCCACAACTTGGCACAGTATGAAGGGTACTCGATTAACTAGACCCGCGACGTATCGTTCATGGCAGGTCATATTATAAAACAATGTTACAATAAAAGATATACCTTGCTTAAAAGCGGTTTAACGTTGTAGCTTGTTTAAAATCCAATTTTGTCTCCCTTGTGGTGTCCAACCATGCTGATCGTTTCCTTTATTTGTATGGTACACAATGCAGCGTGTACCGTGTTTACTGGATTATATCATTCTTATTCGATTGTCTTATATAATTTTTTGCTTCAGGTCGGAGTCTTGTGACCTCAGCACTTCGTTTGACAGCACACAGTCTGATGAGAGCGTCGGTGAATCGCTCTGCGTCGAATCCGCGGCTAAAGTGGACGAGTGGCTGGAGAGATTTCAGGCAGCTCAACGCTTGTTCCTGTTCTGCCTCTCTTTACGAGAATTTGCTTTCAGGCGTTCTCCAGCTCGGAAAAAATGCGGGCCCTCAGTCAGCTAATCGAACGCTGCAGTTTGTCCCAAATCCGTCATCTACAGAAAACTATTGAGCCGTATTTTCAGAGAGATTTTATCTCTTTGCTTCCTAAAGAAGTAAGTTTTTGCATTATCGCTGTCCAGATGCTGTGTCGAATGTTTAGTGTATCTTGCCTCTTCAATGGTTCTGCACACACGAAACCAGACAGATTGTAGTCTTTATTGTAACTGCCGACGATTCAGCCAAGCTGCATTAGCGAATTACTCAGGGCAGACAATGTTTCTGTATGTGTGTTTATGTCTGTGGCTATTGAAGTGGCAATTTATTGAAGAGGTAGACTCAGAACTGAAATGAATTTCCGAATTCATATCATATGTCTGTTCGTTAATCTTTCATGAAAAAAATTAACTATGGAAAACTACTGAACTGCAGATAACGGGTAATAAGGCTAAATAGGTTTTATTTAGGTTTGTTGGTTTTCCTCTCAGTTCGATGGAAATGCATTTATGAATACTTTCATGCTATACAACTGCATTTAAATTCCATCGTTCTAAAATGCAGTATTTTTGCAAGCACTGTCTTAAGCTGTCTAACAACAGTCGCCTTCGGCCTCTTTCCCGTCTATTTTTGTACTCAATTTTTTATTTTGGAAAGATTGGGGGTTAGCAGTCACGTTCGGTTGCTGAACCTGCAGCTACATGATTGTCATTTGAGTGTTAATCGACACTGCTGCCAGATTATACTGATTTTTTCGGTTGGTCGTTTTTCTGGCTTTAATATATGCGCACTATTTGTTTTGTAGTTATGTTTTTACCCGTTGGTCATCGCATACATATTCTGTACTCATTTTTGTGTATTGAAGACATGACTAGCTACCACAGATATACCAGCTTTATTTATTTATTTTAATCGCTACCATGGCATTGTCATCGAATAATGCGTTAGTTTAGCTAGCACTCGCTGTGCTCAGTTTTCTCTCTCCTCGGGATCTCTTGAACGCAGCGCTCACCTGCCGTTATTGGCGAGTGCTCGCCGAAGATTTACTGTTGTGGCGCGAAAAATGTGAAGAGGAAAACGTCTCCATGGAGTCGCTGCCTGCTGCGTCGAGCTACATGCAGGAATTTCCAAGCTGTTTGGTTCGTTGTCCTTGGAAGGCCGCGTACTTGCGTCATTCCCGCATCGAGGTGAACTGGCGTCGGGGAACACCGTGTCGGGAACTGGTTCTTCGTGGACACGACGAACACGTTATTACCTGCCTACAGATGGCCGGTGACAAGATTGTCAGTGGTTCCGATGACGACACGCTTCGAATTTGGTCCGTTTCAACTGGCAGAGTATGATTGTTTTATCATATTTTTGTCTTTCACCTTGAGCTGTTATTTAATGTCTGCTCTTTAGTGCCTTCACTGCCTCACCGGTCACGTGGGCGGTGTTTGGTCCAGCCAAATGTCAGATGATGGCAGCCGCGTTGCCAGTGGCTCTACAGACCGCACGGTTAAAATCTGGGATACCGAAACGGGACAGTGCGTGCATACCTTATACGGGCATACTTCTACCGTCAGATGTCTAGCTCAAAAAAGCAATATGTATATTTTTTGCTACTTAATTACTTGTTTATCATTAATGATTGTTGCTACATCAGTGAGTAGTCATGTTCATTTCGAAAAAATTTTTAAATTAGCTACTTGCAGGACAATATGGTTCTTCTGTTATTAGTGGGAAGGCTAATAAAGTTCTTGTCATTAACTTCACTCATTATTTTCACACTTATGTTGATTCATTTAAGTTTCTAATTAAAATGGCTTATGATAGGCGGTCTATGTAGAAACTATAGTTTATAACTGTTCAGGTCGTAGAATCAGCTCCTTATTTTGGACTTATCTACATTTTCTTTCTGACATTTTTATATATCAACATTACTCCAAGATTGTCGTTGGTTTGTGAAAGAATATAGTACTAAATAGTACTTAATACTTTTAATGGCGCATATTTGATGAAGTCCTACCATGCAATTGCGAATGGAGTTCATTTTAAGTATCTTTTTCGTCAAAATCACGTGTTTAGACTATCGCAGTTGTGATCTCTGCATTGTGGAAGAGAAGGCTTATAGACGGCTTGTCTCAAACTACCGTATTCAGAAGTCAGTGAAACTTATCGCATTAACACTCGCTCAGCGGATTATTTTTAGGCAGAATGTAACCCTGACAGAATTAATTACTAATACAATTTTAATATCCGCCTATAATTATAACGTTTTAATTCATGACAGCGGAATATATTTTTCGTATCACAGCGTCCCCTTGCTTTAGAATATTAGGGAATTTAAACAGGTCATGGTTCCATGATATTTGAGCATCTGTGATGCATTACATGCTGGGCTACATCTTTGAGGTGATCCTCTGAAGCGCAGGGTTTCAGTCCAACTTCGAGTTTATGTGTTGGTGTGGCCATCATCTGGAGCCGTTTGCATAGGCAGAATGTTTCTGGTTTGTGATGTTCCCTGTATTCACAGCTTAACAGCACTGTTGCTATAGAGCATTGGTTACTGTATCGTAGAAGAAACAATCTTCTCTGAATGCAGACCTGCCTCCACCTTGCCCCCCCCCCCAGTTAGCCGGTTTACGTTTGCAATCTTTCGACTCTAAAACAGGAAACTCACCGGATGGATTAAATGGTATATGTTCCAGTAATGAATTTAAAACGAAAACGTAAAATATCGTTCCTGCCGCTTGTCGCATGCTCTATCAGTGTCCTGCTTTACGATCTTTGACTAAAGGTAAATGCGTTTATCCACTTTACGACAAAGAGTTGCGCATTGCTGCCTACTCTTTTCATCACTCCAGATTGATTTAGCTCCCGTGTTACTGCGCTCACTTCTTTTGCCTGCTTCGTATGTCTGTTTTCATGTCTTTCATGCCATCACTCATGAACTCTCACTGATAATACATCAGTTTAATTACTTGCTTCCACTTCGTTTCTCCGATTTCTAAAATTGGCTAAATGATCATTTTCAACCACGCAAAAACAAGTTTGATCTGGCTGATTTTTATTCGTCTTGATCGCATTATGCAGCGTAATGGTCAAGTGTACGTTCGATGCAGACGTGAGAGGAGGCGCCAGACGCATCTTATAAATAATACTAATTTATTGATCAAAAATTATTTGTTCAGAGGCGTCATTAAATATTATATCTATCGTACTCTATTTCGATAAGCTGTAGATCCACAGGTCCATGATCCTCCTATGAATTACTAGTCTGAGTGTACTTCTAAACAAATATTACAACAGCCCTCATTTTTTATTATGGCTTATTCGACAAAGTGCAGAGCACAGCAACATCAACTCGCATACTACAATGGCTAATTGATTGCCAGTATTTATCCTTTGTGCCTTTAAGAGATATGGCCTCAATATGTCCTTTTCGAAATATGGCTCTCCGATTAATGCCATCGTAAAGCCACCGACGTGGAAGTCGTTATTTGTATAAATAAAACGGTAGCCGTCATCTCCATGACTGCAAAATTACTTTTTTTCTTTTCCAGAGAGATTTACCCGAAGTGCATGAGTAAATTGACAACCTCAGTTTCCACTACCTCGCTCACTGACCGTCTTGTTTGAGGGTAATTCGATGTCATGAGGTGCATACGGGCGCTGTTATATCTAAAATATAAGACGGGTTTAGTTTGTTCATTTTACAGTGCAGAAAGAGTGTTGTCATAGCTGGAGAATATGCAGGTTAATATCTGCTTTTATGTACGTCGGTTAAGGTATGGTGATTTTTTATTACGTCGTCATTTCAACCGATTTTTAGACTAGTTAGTGGAAGTCGCGACACTACGGTTCGGGTGTGGAACATGGACACCGGTGAAAATATACGTTTGTTTACGGGACATATAGCAGCGGTGCGATGTGTACAGTTTGATGGAAAGACAATAGTCTCAGGAGCTTATGATTATACCGTAAAAGTTTGGGATCTGGAATCGGCTACCTGCATTCATACCCTCGCTGGGCACACGAACCGGGTTTATTCATTACAGGTAACAAGCGACATATATGGCCACGTTGTTGAGGTGAACTGATCGGCAAATGTTTAGTTTGATGAAAAGCACAAACTTGTTATTTCCGGGTCGCTCGACACATCGATCAAGGTCTGGGACATTGTCAGTGGCCAGTGTTTATTTACCCTGATTGGACACCAGTCGTTGACGTCCGGCATGCAACTACGTGGCAATATCCTGGTCAGCGGAAACGCTGATTCGACGATAAAAGTCTGGGATATTCACACTGGCCAGTGTCTGAACACTTTGGCTGGCGTGAACAAACACCAGTCAGCGGTGACAAGTTTGCAGTTTTTGCAGAATGGTTTGGTTGTCTCCTCTTCGGATGACGGAACTGTCAAATTATGGGATGCTTTAAACGGTAAAAGTGAAGCTGATACTCAGGTTAGTTCTGCGATATACAATCGAAGCATATAATTGCAGGGACGTTCATCAGGGATGTAATCAGGTTGCCTAGTGGTGGCTCTGGTGGATGCATTTGGCGACTGCGAGCGAATTCCACGACGTTAGTTTGTGCGGTTGGCTCCAGAAATGGCACTGAAGACACAAAGCTTATGGTTCTTGATTTCAACGCCGATTATCCATAATGTTACCAATTTGGCAGATCGCCTGCGTGATTTGTCTTTAATCAACATTGACCAAGAAAAATCAGACATTTCTTGCCGGAAAATGACAACGCATAATTTGTTTTATTTTGCAGGCCTTGAAAATGCAGAAAACGGATTTTATTCTTTGTTCGTTATTTTGGTTTTATGTTATTTTTAGTTTTATAACTTTGCGGTTTTATATGGATATTTTACTTGAATATAGGCTTTTCGCCATTCGTGTGCGGTTTCCAAAGGTAGGTCATTTGATGAATTTTTCTCGTCAGAGGATCTACTGCATAGCTCGCAGCTTTCTTTTGCATTGATCTTTATCAATTTAAAAAATAGCAGACGCCCTGCAGTCTAGCGAAGCTTCCTGTAAAGCATACGTTAATTTCCGAATAACCATCTCGAAAATGGTCAATTTTACTATATTTGGGTGTGCTGTCAAAAATTGCCACTTCTCGTCTAGTTCATGCGGTGCGATCAGTGGTTTTATTCTTCCTAGCTGAGGTTATTGTTAATCTTTGGCAGGAACTTTGCAAAAAGTTGACTCCTTCGCAGTCGATGGAGCGTTAAACCGCCATTGTAAGAACAGAAGTTGTTGCTAGGACGCCTTTGATTCTTCAGAAGTAGATAAATATGCTCCAATATGTAGAAAGGAAGCGGCAAAATTAAGTTGAAATAGGTCAAAAATTCTGACACGAAGCTTCCTCCAATTTCTGCTGGTAGTTCCTGCACGTCATATCTGCAGGTAGGTGTCTTTAATCCAAATGACTTGTGCATACTACCTGCGAAATGGTCAGAGGCGCAAGGTGCTGCTAGTACAGTGGAGCGACTGTGAGTGCCACCGCACAGAGAAACCGGAAGTTTTCGAAGATGGATGTTCTCTGGAAGAATAAGAAAAATTAAGCAGTGTGGACGGATCAATTTGCATTGTAAAATTTTTAACGTATAATGTCAACGATGTTTTAAATGAGTTGTATCTTCTGTTGTTTTCACCATGTCTTAAGCAGAAAGTGACAAATTAAAACCACAGTAACGTCTATCCGGGTTAGAAGAGAACATAAAACACTTTGTTAATGCACACTTGCTTGCGAACGGGAAAATAAGGTTTTCTATAGCAGTGAATGTTCCGATCTTGTTGTAATGTTAATCGGTAGCACCATTTCTATTTGTAAGACAATGCATTACTATTCTGTTTAAACTGTTAACCTCAGGCGCCGATGAAAAAATAGCAGCTGCAAACCGCCACTGCTGTTCATTCACCCGAATGTACACTGCCATAGCCAATAGGGTAACCAAACGACCAATAAGAATGTGCTGTGCAGCTCAAAGTTTAAATGGTGTTGATTACTAGCATGACACATTACTGTTCCTAGCAATGTTGAACAGAGAAGGCAGTTTCGGTTTTGTCGTTCGTGATGGGAACAATTCTGCCTTGAAGATATTTCGCAAATGAGCTGCAGACAGTTGTCGAAGCACTTACGGGACTGCAGTTGTGTCCAGGTAATAAGAGTACCTATGAATAGTAGGAATATGATTGCTTTTACGATGGCGTTCTTCGTAATTTTTCGCAGATTTTCTTTATGCCGATTCACCTAGGAATCGGTTTCGCCGTAGCTGGTTGATGCTATTTCCAGACACTTGCAATCGTTTACATTTCCTATGGCCATACCGTTCCATTCTATCATTTGGCTGTCTATAAATAAACCGTAAACTGATTACTTTAGCCAAAGAACTCATGTCGTTGTACTCTAATGCGACCAGCGCAAACACGAATCCAAAGTAGATGACTTGCGAAAGGTGATAGCCTGATGTTGTGCCATCAGGAAATTTACCATTCTCTTGCTAAATGAGAGCACTGTACTTTGATATTCATGCAGTTAATCAATAAAAGGTACGATTTGTGAAATAAAGATGTAAACTAGAACTATGACCTACTTCTAGCATAAACTAGAAAGTTCTCGTAATATCAATTCATTGAACTTAATTTCCTGTCTATTGTCTCCATCTGCAGAAAAAGTCAGCGCTCGAAAAAGTGTTTGCCCACAAGCTTCTGCTTTTTGACTGACATTATGCATCAAAGTCAGTGCGTTTGTAAGCTTTCCAATTGCAAAATGCAACAGCATCACTGGCCTGGTAGAATCCACGGATAGATGGAATATGTGAAACGGGCGTATTCTGCATTTTGTTCAAACACCGAATAAGTTATCGGAAACACCGGTAGTTTATGCGGTCTTATTTTATTCTTGTTTAATATTTCAGCAAAAATTCATCGAAAGAACTTCAAGAGCTAATTGACAACTTTTACCGCCTAATCTCCCTGATGATGCACCTGCACTCTTGTGTCAAACGAACTTCTCATAACCTTTGATTCCAGAACTGCATTGTGAAGAAGCTTCCAGTTGGCAAGACCATCCCTGTCACTAATTTCTAGGAGAACATCATGTCATCTATCTACTACATGTCAACAAAATGATATATGATTATATTTTCTTGTCACGTTCGGAAAATAGCCCTTTGGACTGAGCTATTTCGAAAAATAGTCGACAAAAATGCTGAATGACAAGATTGGCCATAACCTATTCGTAAATTGCCCAAAAGAAATTTATAAATAATACTGTTTGAAACGAATCACAAAGAAACTCAATTCTTCAGCATTTGCGCACGATCATCGGAGTAAATTGTTGCATACAGCGAATAAATTGCAGTACTATTATAAATTTAGTATACGACTAAAACAACTGCTTTCTTCGATACAGAGCATTACGCCAGATTGCCAATTCTGAAACTTTCCGTTGCGGTCTTACTGAATATTCGGAGAGCTTTGCGGGAATAATGCAACCTGCCAATCATCTGCTGATAGACAGTTGACATCATGCATTATACGACAAAGTAAAGCGCAATAATGGAGGCAGACGCGTCAACCAGTGCTTCAAAAGTTCCCAATACTGTTCCAGCATCTGAGCATAGGCAGAAAACCACCGGAGCCCACTGTAGGCTCCTTCAACATGTTATTGTAGTCCTTAACTCTGCCTTCTGCTGGTCTTCTGGTTATGAAGTAGTTGCTTCGCCTTCATTTCTGGAAACATTCACAACACGTGCCCAGATCATCGCAGCTGCGGTGTCTCATCTGAAAAAATAGCGCCTGTGCACCTAGGCTCGGATTTTTATGCTCGGAACCATGTCGAGATTCGTAAGGCCAACGATCCATCAAATAAAGCCCATTTCAACCGCTTGTATCTGAGATTACACTTTTCAATCATGGTCTACGATCCGTAACCGTAGGTAAGCATTGGGATGATGAATGACTTGAACATCGAGAGTTTAGCCTTCAGATTCAACTTCGCTTTAGGCACATCGGCTCAGACTAGCTCACTCAAAAAATCACTTGCTGTTCCAATCCGCCGGTCAACCTCTTCTTCCCATTTTCCATCATCAGTAAACACGACCCAGAGGGACTTGGTCCTCTCCGCCTGCTCCGCTGCTTCTCCGATTATCTGACGGTAACAATAAACACGACAACGAGAAAGCTCTAGGCTTTTCGCTTTAGATGCGTTCAAATGCATGCCCATCACGTAGCACTCGGCTGTAAACCTTTCCAGAGGGTGATCGAAATCACTTTCACAAGATATTAACAAAACATGATCGTCCACGAAAAGCAATCTTCTCGTCTTGAGATCCATACGCGGATATACTTATCGCCCTGGCTACGCCTGATTGTTCTCTCCACAGCATGAACAGGAGAGGGGTCAGGACGCAGCCTTGGCGGAGACCAATGCCAACGTTGAAAGGCGTCGACTTAATACTAATTACTCTGATGCAGCCGCTGCTGTCAGTATATAGTGAATGGATGACCCGTAGCAACTGGCCATCGATTCCAAACGTTCGCAGGCATGCCCATAGATTGTTGTATGAGCAAACACCCATAAGTTTTGAACGACCTATCGTAAGGCGAAGATTTAGTCACCGGATCTTCGGTATGATCTGGAGACACATAGCACTTCTTGAAATAAAGAGCTGACTATTACCCGTCACCCCAATTCCAGCATCTTTCCGTATAATACTCCTTGGGGGCTAAATAATACCTTGAGAACTGGAGCAATTAGCATGGTCTCACTCTTTGAACAGAGCTACTACCATCCCGGTTTTCCAGTTCATCGGTATCTTCCCCGGATACATTACAGTTTGACAGACACGTGTAGGCCAGCACATGCATCGTTCGTCTAAAGCGTTAAGCGTTTCAGGGCGGATTTCATCGATTCCACTCTTCATGCTGTTCACAGCTTTTGTGATTTTATCTAAGAGATACAATCATTCGCTCCCTGCTGTTCTTCAGGCGAGTCTTCATGAAGTTGCTCGGAATTAAGGAGTTCCTCAAAGTATTCTTCATCGTCGAAGAGTGTGTAAAGGGATATCCAGAGTTGTCTTTCATGTCTCTTTGAAAACCACTCTTTTCACCTCAGAAACATTGGATGGCCTAGTGCAATGCCTTTTCTGCCATCTGGAAATTGGACTCTAACACTTCACACTGAACTTTCGCCACTTTTTTCCCTGCCGCTTTCGTGATTCTATATGCCACATGAGAGTTGAAGGCTCTGTGCTTCCAAGCCATTTTTAATGCAGCTTTCTTTTCATTGACTGTCAGTTGCACGCCACATGCATACCAGTAAGTTCTATTATTACCTCCAGGCGGCATGCCAACCCGTTTGAAACCGCAGCATTCGGCGGCAGCTCAGAATGCGCCACTCTCAGGGAACTTTCACCCGCTTTGCACATCAGCGGTCATCACAAGGATCTGTTCAAACTCTTGAGCGATGTTGTTTGCAAGTATCGCCGTCGTACCCGCGAAAGATAATGCCTCTAATTTGATTTTTTTTAGTAGCCTCTGTGACCAAGTCCTTATTTGGTACTCCATCTCTAACCGCTTAGCGTGCCAACAACGAGGTGATGATCGGTTGACAGCCCTGCACTTCATTCAGCCTGAATATCCATTACAA